CACACACCCTGCATGGGAGCGAGCACAGCCATCCCTATGATGGGAGTGTCCCGAAGACTGACTCTGACAACGATGCCAACTATCCGTGATAACTATGATAACCACCTACAATAACTACCTATGCTAACCACCCCTGATAACTATAACTACCTACAATAACTACTCCTAATAACTAAGTATGCGTGATAATTATACTACAATAACTACCTATAAGTACCTCTGATAACTATGCTAACTACCCCCTGATAACTATAACTACCTATGCTAACTATCCCTGATAACTACAATAGCTACTCACAGTAACTATGATAAATACCCATAACTACCAAATCCATAACTACTTATTGCTACTCATGATACCGCTGGTAACTACAATTAACTACCCCGATAACCATGATAACTACCCAAGATAACTACCTATAACTATGACAACCACCTATGATACCTGTAACTANTAGTTCTATTAGCTTGAAACAATTTGTAATATGCTATTGAACTGCTTATTTACAGTACAGGGATAAAATTACAGAAGACACTTTCACAAGTAAAGTATGCAGAGTTCATTCTAGCTCAGAAAACCATGGCTGAGCCCTCATGACCTAATCACTTCTACAATCCTCATTACAAACACTTAGAGCATAGCAGGGGGTTATTTATTTACTGGTTTGAGAACGTCAGCAATGCTATCCTATTACATAATTATCTTAGTTTTCAAATGATGTATCTCAGGAAGACCTACAGTAGCTATCTATAATATTAAAGGCAAATACATTGAATTCTAGTTACAAGATGAAATAAATTTAATACGCTGCTTACATCTTCATGATTAAAATTTCCTACAAAGACATCACATATTGAAAACGGATTTGAAATTCATTTCTCCATCAACACAAAAAACCAAGACCAATCTGCAAAAACCTTTGAATTTTACAGTACTTAAACAATCTCTGCAACTGACACTGAGGAGCTGTGACTGAGCTACACTGCCACATCCACTGATGGATCAGACAGTGAATATGGAGCCCACTCTGTCCCCACGTGTGGTGGGTCCTGTCTCTTGCACTCAGTCTCCAGCCAGGGCTGCCATCAGTGGGCACCGCTGCACTGGTACAGGGATTTCTATGCCCACACACTGAAGAGGGTAGCCAGCACAGAAACTCAAGGTCCCCACCAAGAGAGCACATGCAAATGCTGTATGCTAGGTCACTAGGGAGCTCATTTACAGGTAAGAGAGGCCCATCCTTTGTCTGCAGTGACAGCATTAAGTGCAAACACAAACAAGTATATATTGATATAAAAAGTTTCTGTCTTTCCACGTAGCACTTCTTCACCTTTAAGAAAACATCACTGACAATAGTGAACACGTAAAACCTGCTGTCCACATACTAATGTGTTTAAGATCCAAACACTGCTCAACTCTGCTATGGTGAACTGACCTGCAATGGTGTGCGCGTACAGCCGGCTGCCAAAAGTGAAGACGTGCAGCTCGTACAATTTGGCAATCTTCTCCAAGCAGTCCTTGCAGTGAGGACGCAAGCGGGTGTGCAGCATGGGCTCGCCCCGGCCCAGCTGGAAGTGGAAGATGCCCTGCAAAGAACAGCCCAACTGTCAAAAGAGGCCCTGGAGAGAGCCCAGGCAGCACTCCCGACCTGCGCCCCAGAACAGGAGTCCCGAGGACAGTGTGGGCTGCCCAGAAGATGAGGACGCTACCTGAGCCTCCTGGGGGTCAGTCATGGCAGCCACATGCCTTCCACACAC